GCCCGCCCCCCTGGCCCTTGTTGCCCAGGGTTAGTGGCTGGGACAGTCGGGCTCCGGTGGGGTGATTCCAGGGCCAGGCAGGTGTGTGGCCTGCCGTGAGTGTAGACAGTGTGAGAACTGGTGCGGTACTGGGAACAGACTAGGAGGGACCGACCGTGCTGGGCCACGGGCCGTGTTCAGGGCCCTCTGTCATGGAGGTGGAGCACGGTGGAAGGGTCGGGGTTAAGATGCCGGAAACAAAGCAGCAGGTTCACTAAGTGGTTGAGGCTGTGAAATGAGAGGGAGCCATAGGGTGGGGCTGTGGACGGCCCCACGGGGACCCAGCCCTGGGCTGTGGCCTCTATTGCCTGCCCTCATCTGCCTGCCACTGGACTGGAACAGCCTCCTGCCCAGGCCTCTCGCGCCCTCCCTGGAGTACGCGGCAGCAATGGGGCCGAGTCCTGCAGCACCCTGACCTCGCCTACCAGGGCCCGATGGCCTCCCCGTTGCCACTCTGCCCTTGGCCCCTGTGGTTTTTCTCACGTGCACTAATGCCTGGCCACGCGGGCTGCTTGGCGATCTGTCCCCACATGTGCTCCATGTACGAGCGCCAGGCCTGCTGGGGTCAGCCGAGGGGAGGCCAGGCAGCAGAGCACACGTGGGGCCCTCTAACTGGGGCAGAGTATGCCTGCCAGCCGCCGCTCCGCCCAGGGACAGCTCCCACTTTCTGTTGGGTGGCCGACGATGCCAGCTCGTCGACCAGTCCCCTTGCCGCTCACAAGTGGTGACTCTTGGCCACAGCTGGGAAGCAGGGCTCATAGCCGGGGTCAGGCGGCGGCTGTAGTAAGCCACTGTGGCACGTGGGCCCTCTGGGCCAGGGAGAGTTGGGGTGAGAGTGCAGGGTAGCTCTGGTGGGAGAGCCCGGCTCCGCCTTCCATTACGAGGCATGGGGAGGGCAGGCTTGCAGGGGGCCTGGCTTCAAGTGTCAGCCTGGGGGACTGCTTGGCTCAGGAGCTCAGCCCACACCGGGTTAGAGACCGACAACACGGGGTGTCGCTCGCGGAGCCCGCACCCCTCACAGATGTCCTAGCTGGTGCCCCTGGGCCGTCCGGCTCCTGACAACTGCTGCTTTCTGTCGCGAAGAGGAGTGACCCACGTGTGAGGCCAACACCCACTCAATGTTAGCATGCTCCGGGGCCTGTGGCAAAAGTGCTGCTTGTGCACTGCATTACCCAGAGTGCCCTGGGTGCGGCCGCCGTGGCGGGGGAGGGGGGGCAGGCAGCGTGGCACAGCCGCCTGAGGCTGCAGCGGTGAGGGGGCCATCCTCGGACCGTCCTAGTGGGCCGGTGCGGTGGCGTGCACTGGAGTCCCGGCTGGCCGGGAGGCTGGGGCAGGAGGAGCCTGATGTGGCGAGAATGTCCTGGCAAAAATGCCTCTCTTTTGGGCCAGCCTGTGGCCTGGTGGTTAAGGGAGCCAGGTCCCTCAAGGCCGATTGTGAGGGTCAAGTCCTGGCCTTAGCTGGCACGTGTGCGTGTGTGCCCAAATTCCCGAAAGGAGGGAGAAGGGGTAAGGGAGTGCAGCGTGACTGTCCCCAGGGGCTGTTTTCTCCTCTCTGGTGAGCGCATGTACCCTCTGACAAATTCGGAAAGGAAAGAACAAACGCCTCTCTCTCCTCCTCATGTTTTACATAAAGAGCCCCGGGTCAGCCCAGTGCTGGCCCCAGGGTGCTCACATCCTGAGTGGAACACGGCCCTATAGAGACGACCTTGACATGGGGGATGAGCTGGGGTTGGGGGTCAGTGCAACCTCTGGTCCTTTGAGACCCGAGAAGAGCTGGGAAGGGAGGAAGACGGGGAGGAAAAGGGAGGTGGGAGAGGGAGGCGGGGGTCAGGGTCAGAGTGATGCCACGTGAGGGGCCCGCCACACCCACGGCTGGCTGCTGAGCATGGGGGCCAGGCCGTGCACCCAGGGATGGGCGCCGCTGGAGGTAGGAGGGCCAGGAGGCAGACTGCCCTGGTGCCTCCACAAGGAACCAGCCCTCCAGACGCCTTGTTTTAGCCCAGGGATATCCATCTGACGTCTGCCCTTCAGAGCTAAAAGATGATAAATTTCTCTTATTGTCTTCCCCTTAAAGAGACTTTTGCTATAGTGTGTGCGCATGTGGGAGAGACGGACAGAAAGCAAGAGATCACACCCTGGGGGAATGGCCACGCCCCAGCCCCTTCTCCTCTAGTCTCCTGTTGGGATTTTGGGCACATACATTCATGCACCTGGCATGAGTTCCAAGCCGTCGGTCTAGGACTCAGACCGTGGCCAGCCATGGGAGTCCACGATGTAACCATCTCACCATCTGCTGCTCCCAGTTTGTCTTTTCTTAAGCCACAGAGTTTGGGCAGTATGTCACACGGTCATGAGAAACTAATATGAGCCCTGTGACTTGTATGATTGTCCCCCTTTTACCGGTGGTGACACTGAGGTCACAGAGTTGATTTGCCCAAGGCAGTAAGTGGCAGGGCCACTTTCAGCTGAGTCAAGCTCACCCTGGGGCCCTCACTGCAGCTGGGACACATTTCCCTTTTCACTTTCTCCACTAGGAAGCTCAGGTACACACATGTCATTTCTTTCCTAGCTCTTGGCTTTTCCTTGTCTTTGCTCTGGTGCCTTGTCATTTTTGTTAAAACATTTTCCTGCATATGATGTCAAATACACCTCAGAATCTCCCCGAAGTGTAGTCTGGAATGGGTCATGTGGACAGGCCAATGGATGGGTGGTTTCTGTTTTCTCACCCTGTGTGTTGTGGCTTCTCTAGGAGGGGGAGGACAAAATCTTCTTAATCAACAAGCTTCACTCCGTTTATGAGAGGAAGGAGAAGATGGAGAGGAGCAGGTGAGGGGCCCCGGAGGAGATGACGGGCTCGCAGCGGCAGCTTGCTCTCAGCGTGGGGAGGGGAGGGAAGCGGCTTCCCGGCTCTCTCCCAGGCCGCCGCCTCTGAACTGTGTTGCCCCTCCCCCGTCCTCAGGAGTGCGGGCCCAGCTGGGTGCTGGCGCTGGCCAGGTGCACCCGAGGGGCCTTTCCTGGCAAAGCCCGGGACCAGTCGCTCAGCTGTCTTCTGTCTCATGGTGTTTTCATCACCTGGGGTTAAACCTGGGGACATGGGCGTGGCTGAGCTGTAAAGACCCTGAGAAATTCAGAAGTGTCCCCATCTCTAAGGGCCACCAGGACAGGCCAGCGCTGCAGTAACCGCTGACAGCAAGGGGGTGGGCAGTCTGACACCTGCCGCCCAGGGGACAGACACCCATGGACACACACACACACATATGCATGTGGATGGACACCCATGGACACACACACATGCATGTGGATGGACACACACATGCACGTGGACGGACACCCATGGAAAAACACACACACACGCACGTGGACGGACACCCATGGACACATACACATGCACGTGGATGGACACCCATGAACACACACACACACACACACATGCATGTGGACGGACACCCACAAACACATACACGTGGATGGATACCCATGAACATGCATGCATGTGGATGGAAACACATGAACACACACAAGTGGACAGACACCCATAAACACACGTGAACACACATACACAAACATACAAACACATACATACACATGGGTGGACACCCATGAACACACATGCATGTGGACAGACACCCATGAACATGTGCCCACATGTGCATGCATGTGGATGGACACCCATGAACGTGTGTGCACACACATGCATGTGGACAGACACCTATGAACATGCACACACACACATGAACGTGCAGATCCGCCCACATGCGGGCCAGCTATTCTCCCTGGGGTTGGGGGTGGGCTGGGGCTGGCCTCTCTGAGGGTTCCTGGACCTAGACCCTTCCCTGGCCTGGAGACCACACCCAAGGCTCCCCCACAAAGCTCCCCCACCCCAGCTCAGGGCAACAGAGACCCATAGGACTGGCCACCCAGTTTGGAAGCACCTGGGGATAGGACCCCTTGGCCATTAAGCGAACATGGGCATCGGGCCCTGAGCTACCTCGGGGACTGTGAGCCACGCAGCCCCTGTACCCTGGGCCTCATGGACACTGCAAGGCCCCAGCCTGTCTCCCCATGTGGAGGAAGCCTGGCATCCCAGCCCTCACAGCTGGGGCTTAAGAGGTGCACCTTGGCCCCAGGCCTGTGATGGGGCCTGTGCTGGGACAACACCCAGCACAGAGGGCCGCTGTCTGAGACTCCGGAATGCTTACATGCAGTCGCCCGTTCAACCGTAACCTTACCCTGGCACAGCCAAGCATCGGCGGTCCCCACCTGGCCTCCTTCCAGCCCATCTTTCACTTCTCTCTAGAACTTTCTTTTCTTTTTTTAAAAATAATTATTTTATTTAACTTTATTTATTTAAATTTGACCAGAGAGTGACAGAGAAAGTGAGAAACCAAGCTGCCAGGTCTGGGACTCAAACCACCATTGGCCATGTGGGAGTCTAAAACCCTTAACCTCTACACCACTTGCTGGACCCTCTAGAACTTTCTTTAGCCTCCGGAGGATGCCACTTTTGTCTGGGACTGGAAGTGTGTCAGGTTGGGAGGGGCTGGCCCTGGCTGACTCCTTTTCTGACAGGGTTGGAGGAACGCAGGAGGCTTCTCCAGGCGCTGCCGAGTTCACAGGTGGGACAGGGACCGGCTTCCCAGACTGACCTCGCACCCCAAGTCACCCTGTTCCCAGGGCCCTATGGCCCCAGATGCCGATGAACCTGCAGACCAGCCAGCCACTGGGACAGTGAAGTGACCCTGCTTCCCTTCCTGCTGGAGCCAGATGGGGGCAGGCTTGGGCTGCCCCAGGGGACCCCGCCCTGCCCTGTCCTGGACCCTCTTTTTCTGATTAAATGGGTTTTGCAAAATGGGCTTGTCTGGGGCCTGAGTCTGCCTCTGCTGCCCCACTGCCCTGAGGACCGGCCCCTGCTGGAGGGTCAGTGGGGTGGGGCTGGGCACCCTCTGCTGGTCGAGCCCCAGATTGCAGGCTTATAGCCTGCACGTGCCACGGGCTGCAGGCCCAGGCCGGGTCCACGGTGGTTAAGTCAGGGAGTGGGCTGTGCTTAGTGGCTGATGGGGCAGAGGGGGTTTGGAGGGGACATTTTAGTGGCCAGTGAGCAGTGGGGTGAGGAGCCCCTGGGCAGAGGGCAGCTGGCACCCAGGCTTGGGCATGGGGGAGGATGAGCTTGTTCTTAAACCCTGAAGCGGCCCACGGTGGGGGGGGAGACCCCACACCAGAGAGGAGATGCCACTGGACACCAGCAGCACCCCCTAGCTGGACCTGCGCTCGGCCAGCACCGTCCCTTCCCTGAACAGGCCCATGGACACTCCCGTGTTCTATGGACGTCTGGGCCAGAGGCCGTTAGCTGACACCAGCCCTGGGGCCAGCCCTGGTGGAAGGGCTGGGGGCCTGCGCTGGTGGAAGGCCCCCCACAGATGGGGTTTCCCAGGCTGTCATGGCTGCCTCATGCCAGGGGTGCTTAGGGACCTACGCACACAGCAGGCACTGACTGGGCGTGGGCGACGTCCTGTGGTTCATCCCTGGGAGCCAGTGTGGCCGGTGGAAGGGGCGGCAGCTCTGAGTCCGGACCCTGGGGTCCCTGGGCCGAAGTCCTCACACCTTCCTGCCAGTGCAGCTCCCCTGGAGGCCTGCCTTGCACAGACCTCAGGTGTGACTTCTGGGCCTGCTGCATGACCCTCGCGGCCCAGCCAGGACGAGCTCCTTAGGGTGGCAGCGAAAGCACTCACCGGGTGTTTTGGAGTGACTGCGCGGCCTGCCATGTGGCTGGTGAGCTAGTCAGCCCCGGATCTGGGGGTGCAGGTGTCGCAGAGGTGGTCGTGTGGACGGTCACAGGTTTCAGTAGAGGAGGTGCCCCTTCACCATGGGGGTGACTCACCCAGTCAGCTGAGGGCCTGATGAGCCCAAACTGAGGTTTCCCAGCGAAGAACGGATCCCACCGTCAGAGGGCGGGCCGCCCCTCCTCCTGGCCGCCCTCCCTTCCGCCCCCTCCTGCGGGCTCTGCGGCCCTTCTGGCCTTTCGGCTTACGTGTCTCCACATTTCCCTTGCAGTAGCCCACGTGAGGTGGTGGCAGCTGGGGTCACTCGTCAGCGAGATGACCTTGGCATGTTTTGTGACCTCTCCTGGCCTGGCCCCTCCCCTCCTGGGGCTGTCGCCCACGACGCGGCTCCTGTACGAGCTTCGAGCAGCTTGGCACATGTGAAGCGCTGCTGAAGCTCTAAGAACAGTCAGCCGAGGCGAGAAGCCGCAGGCCTCTGCTCCCGGGGGCGGACACCTGGGTAGCTCCCACCGGGAGATCAGCGCCCTGTGCCCGGGGCTCCCGCCCAGACGGCTGGACTGAGTCTCCAGGGAATTCTAACTGGGTCAGGCTGGGCTGCGGCCGTTGCCCCAGTGAGCTCCCAACTGTCATGCCGTGACCACGTCAGGTGGCTTCACGGTGACTGGTCCAACCTGCTGCCGTCCAAGGGAAGGCCGGGACAGCCGACACCAACGGGCACGTCTCCATCGTGGCTCCAGCGGTCTGGTCCGTCAAAGGTGCCACTTCTGCAGAGACCTCATTGGAACCCCCGCTGTCTTGCCCACCCTCTGCCCACTGGCCATGCCTGGCTTAGTGGTGCAGGCCTGTCAGGGCTCCCCAGGACAGACAGCCGCCTCTCCATCACGCTGCCGTCCCAAGTGTGCCGCTGCTCGCCCCATCCTCCCATGGCTTCCCAGAACAGTTACATCACAGTGCAGCCCCAAACCTACTCTATCTCTGATGCCAGGTGCCAAGCCTTCTTTTTGCCTGTGGGTCCCAGGAACCTCTAGCTCTGGCCCCATGAAGCCTTCATACTGGGTCTTCACACTGGGCTCCCCACCCAGCCTGTCTCCCGTGCTGCTGAAATCCAGTCTGGCCTCCCAGCCCAGGGCAGGTGCCACCTCCGCCGAGAGCCTACGTCACCCTGGGACCTCCGTCAGGCACTAACCTTGTGCTCCTGGGCAGGTCCTGATGCTGTCTGCGCCCACAGCGCCTCTGGCTCAGCTGGTACCAAGCGAGTGCTCGCGCAGGCAGGCAGCCCATGGTGGAGCGCGGGCTCAGGCTGGTTTAGGGTGTCCTGATTCTGCGTCGTTCTTCCTCTGGTTTCCTTCCTTCTGCCACAAGTCCAGCGCTCCGTTAGCCTCTGGAAGAGGTGGGCAGGGCCAGCAGGTGCCAGCCTGGGCAGGGACGGTTTGCCTTTGACCTTGCCCAAGGGCGTGGAGACAGAACTCGTTCTCGTCCCAGCAGCACCGAGTGAGGGCTCGCCGCAGGCATCCAGCATGTCCAGAGCCCATCTGGAGCATGGATGAGACGGCAGCTCTGACATGGACACTGGCGAGGTCAGGGCACGTGTCTAGGGCCAGACCTGAGACGGCCAACCCAGTGGCTCCCTGACTGCCACCTGCACCTGGGGGTGAAGTGCTGCAGGTCCACCCGTCGGCACGGGGAGTTCCACTATGCTGGTACAAAATGCTTTGCAAAAGCCAGCTGAGGCGTATTTGCAAAAATACGTGAACAAAACGTCCAGGAAACACAGGATCTTTGTTGTCTTCTGCCCCAGCATTTTTGGCGCCCACGCCGGTCCTTGGTGAGACTGAACACACCCTGGCCCCGTCCCGCTGCTGTCCAGGTCAGACATAACCGATCGTGAGAGTCGTGGGCAGAGGACAGCTCGGAGCTTGTGTGTGCCACTCAAACATCGCAAAGACTGGCACAAGGCTGCCCCAGGGCGAGGGCTAAGCGCTGCACAGAGGAAGCTGGGTGGCCTACCTGGCTCAGGAGGCTTGAACACCACCCTGGAGGCCTGGGGCCCTGAGGGGATGAACTGCAGGAAAATGGATTGCAGCGTGACCAGGACCCACTGGGAGGTGTTCTCTCTGTCTCACCCCTGTGCATATGCACACTCCGGCACGGTAATGCAAATATAACAGCAAAACCACAGAGCAAATGATGAAACGGCGAGCTAGACCACAACCCTGAGCTGAACTGACTACATGAGTACGCGCTCAGGGCGTTCTAGAGACAGGCGTCGGACCCACAGCAGGTCATCGCTTTCTGCTAGTTTCGGCATCCAAAGTGGGGACTGATGCGTATTTGCCTTTGAAAGATGAAAAACATTAATTTGAACAGCCAAGAAAAAAATTGCAATTTATTAAGATTCAACAAAGCGTTGTACTTTTGAAAGCAACTTCCGGTGCGTTTTCTTCAACAATCACATTCTATGAGGAAAACATTAAGAGCCACAAACTTGTTTTTTAATCTCAGAGTTACAGACATCTTAAATTCAAAAGAAATGGTCAAAAACAAAACAAAAACAACAAAAACCCAAAACAAACAAACGGATTCTTTCATCCCCAATTTTAAAACATGGGGAGTTTTTCTACAACTCAACGCTAAATGGCAGCATGGAACGCCGTGTGTCTGGGGGCACACACGCACACACGCACGCGGGCACACGCACACGTATCTGATATGCTGATGCAGGTGCACGCGCATCAGGTACACCGAATGCGTGTAATGGCAATGAGATGCAGGTGTTCTGAGGAAGGTCGTCCGGCTAGGTACACTAGTGGAGGAGAGTCTTGAACCCCGTCTGTGCATAGTTCGTGATCCTCTATAAAACCAGCTTTTGTTGATCTGCAATCTTGCAGGACTTTCTCTCTCTCTCTCTTTTTTTAAAACTTTTAATTTTTTTTTTTGTTTTGATAAAACCATTAAAAAGCTAATTTAAATAAAATGTAATGCACAAGTTTCCTGATCGAGCAGGCAGGGAGCACAATGTTCATATATATTTTTAAAACATACTTGAGGGTATGTTACTCCATTGTCTTTCTTCCTTGCAAAACAATCAAAACATTGATCATTTTTAAAACATAAAGCAATTTTTAATATATAAAGCACTCTTCAAACATCTATTTCTTTTGAGTCCATTATTTGGTAAATATGTAACTGCTACACATTAGAGATTAGGTATTTTTCTTCTTTGTGTGTTTTTTTTTTCTTTTTTCTTTTTTTCTTTTTTTTTTCTTTTTGTGTTTTTTTTGTTTGTTTGTTTTTGTTTTTGTTATTTTTTTAGTAACATCTTCAGTGCTAGGAGTTGGGTTTAAAAATACATGAAATGGTGTGGAGCTGCCCTCGGGAGCCCTGGCTTTCCTGAGAGCGCGTCCGGCATGTGCAAGACAGTGACCGCGACGCCTCGCCACCCCGACGGAGGGCGGGGGGTCGGCAGCCCACGACGGCGAGGGAACAACACTGACCAGTCCCAGAGCTCTGAAGTAGCGCATCTGCATTTGAAAATAGGTTTCTTTACGACAGAAGTCTTTTTTTTTTCTTTTTTCTTTTTTTAATTCCTTTTTAAACTTTTATTTTTAAAGTCTGAAGGAGAAAAAAAGGTCTGTAAACAGGTGGGAGCCCCAACCATGGGCTCCTCCAAAAGCAGCCCCAAGCCAGGTCCAAGTGCTTGTCCCCGTCCCTCGCGGAACCACCCTCCTTCACAAGTACGTATGGCCACAGTTCGACAACAGCTCTGCTCTTGAACTTCATACTCCACGTGGAGAGACGGTGCAGCACTCTGGCAATAGTCTTCTTGCATTAGTCCACGGTACAAGCTGCTCAAGGTAGGTACACACGTTACTTCTCCAGAGACACACACGGTCATTTTTAACGCAGTAACAGAGTCCTTGAGTAAACATTTACACGTGAATTGTCACCAGCCCCGTCCTGTGAATCTGTCACGTATGGGATTAGCTGAAGGGAGGGCAAGGACACTCAGTGCAAAGTTAGAAGCTAACAACAGCAAACGTCTGACCAAGGAGCCACAAAGAAAAAAAGCGTATACTGAATACAAGGGAAAACCCACAGTCAAATCCCTCACACACACAGAAACCGCGCGCACGGTGCCGGAGCACACACGGGCGCACGCGCACACACGCACACACACACACACAGAGGCTATGAACTGAGAGATTTTCCTAGAGCCTGTTTCTGTGTACTGACGCCAACCTGGAAGTGTAGAGTCAGCAATGTTCACATTTCATTATTGGCCTACTGGATTCAAGTATTTGTGTGTTTGATATGTCTTTTTTTTTTTTAACTTTTAAAAAATATTTTTTGGGATAAAAAATGACATGAAAACTAATGAAACAAGGGTAATGTGCATAGGCGGCGCGGGGGCAGCGGGCGGGCGGCCGGCGCGTCCTGGCCCTGCCGCCTCTGGTCATGTGCATAATCGTCACAGGCTCGTCTTCGTTAGGCTTCACGTCTCCCTCCCTCCCCCCACGATAAAATAACCCTTTCCGGCCCACGATCTGAAAAGTGCCCTTCATGATAGAACTACTCTAAGCAGCTTTAATACGTAAAACCCAATGACGACACACCGAAAACGTAAGACAACACAAAATAAAAAGCTATGAGGAACGTCCTGTCGTTAGCATGTGACACTGACCGGACGCAGCCCGCACTGTCTTGGAAACAGTTCGCAAGGGCTGGCCGAGTTCGTCTCAGTCCTAGACAGAGGTACTCAGAGGGCGGCCGCTGGCAGGCGTGAGGGCCAGCCGTCCCCGGCGCCTAGATGGACTCCCCGCTGAGCAGGTCTCCGGGCAGCAGGGTGTTCAGCGGGGTGGGGCTTCCGATCACCCTGCCATCGTCGGCGCTGGGCGGGCCCCACAGGCTGCTGGAGTACTGGGGCACCCCACCCCACAGCAGCTCGCTGTTCCCCTTGGCCCCCAGGCATGGGGCGTTCCAGTGGCCGGCATCGCTGCGCACCAGGCCGTGGGAGCTGCCCGAGGCGCCCAGCCGCGGCTGGCTGGTCCCGCCGCTGGACTGCCAGCTGGAGGTGGTTGGCAGTGCTTGGCCTTGCGCTAGGAATCGATTGACTTCCTCTTCGCCGGCGAACTCGGCCAGGATGGTGGTGTTTCCCAGAACACACCTACAACAGCAGAGCAGGCAGGTGAGCAGAGCAGCCGCAGCCGGCCCAGGCTGCCTCCCTGCGCCCGTCCTCCCTCCCTTTCTGCTTGGGGCCTGGCTACACCGCAGCCCACAGTGATGGGCCCACAGGAGTGTGCCACCTTGCCCAGCTTGGCTTTCTCTGGTTCTGTGATGGGAAAGGTGTGGCTGCAGGGTGCACTTCTCAGGCCGCCCAAAACAGTGCCGGCGCTTCCTGAATTGCTGCTCCGTCTCTAAGCCCAGGACAGGACTGTCCTCACCGTAATGTCCACAGGCCTGGCAGCCAGGGTGTCCCGGTGCACTGAGTACATTTTAAAATGTGCGAACGTGCCAGTGGATGTGAGGATCGTTTAAGATTGGTATAATTCCCATCCTGGGTTAAAAATACGAAGATGGGCGGGAACCAGCAGTTAGCGTAATGGCTATGTCGCTGGACTCCCACGTAGTCGACCGCGGTTCGCGTCCTGGACCCGGTGGCTTAAAACTCACGCCGGGCGCGTGTGCGTGCGTGCCCAAGATCCCGAGAGGAGAATGGAGGAGAAGGGATTGCGGCGTGACCATCCCCCCTGGGGGGTGATTTCTCGCTTTCTGTCTCTATGTCTCTCTCTGTCTGTCTGGCGAGCGCACGCATCCTATAGCAAAAAAAATCTCTCCAAAAAAAAAAAAAGAAAACGAAGATGGGGCCAGCAGGTGGCATGGAGGGGAAGGTGGCTGTATCCCCCACGGTCAATCCAGCGGCTAGGAAATCATGCTGGGCGCATGTGCGTGTGTCCAGAATCCCAAGAGGAGAATGGAGGAGAAAGAATTATGGCGTGGCCATCCTCCTGGGGGGCAACTTCTCACTCTCCCTTTCTGCTCTCGATACATTTCTAGGTCTTGTATCACCAGGGCTACAGAGCGGGTTTACTCACTCTTTCGACAGTGCCCCTTTGTCAGGGAGAGGGCCTGCTGTCAGAACTCTGTGCGCCCCTGTGGGAACGAGCCACTCGCCAGGATTGCACCCTGCTGGAGGCGGCTTGCTTTCTTTTTTTGGAGAGGTTTTGTGCTATAGGGCTTGTGCGCTCGCCAGACAGAGAGACAGAAAGCAAGAAATCACTCCCTAGGGGGGATGGTCACGCCGCAATCCCTTCTCCTCCATTCTCCTCTCGGGATCTTGGGCATGCACGCACACGCGCCCGGCGTGAGTTTAAGCCACCGGGTCCAGGACTTGAACTGTGGTCGACTACATGGGAGTCCAGCGACATAGCCATTATGCCAACTGCTGGTCCCTGGAGGCGGCTTTCTTTCTGTCCCTGGGCTCTGTGTGGACTGAGAGCCCTTCCCTAGTAGAGGGTGTAGCCAAGAAACTCAGCAGAAGCAGACATGTCATGAGACACTGTTAGGAGCTGAACTATGTTCCCCACCGAGTTCACACACTGAAACCCTGATTCCTGGAACCTCCGCGTGTGACAGGGACGGGCATGCATGAGAGATGGCTGCCCTGGGCAGGCACGGGGAGGGAGTGGCCTACAGCCAAGGACAGTCCCAGAGAAACCAGCCCTGCCCCTGGGCCCTGGGCCCTGGGCCCTGGGCCCTGGCTCTAGGACCGGGAGGAGGCAGACGCCTGTTGTTCAGGCCCCAGCCTGGGCCCGGCCACGGTCACGGCAGCCTGCAGCTCACACCACACCCCGGCCCTGCAACATCAGAGCCCTCAGCTGCTCGGTGCTGTGGGAAACATACATGTGCAGAGACTTCTGGGCCTTGGCGGCCTCCTCCTTGGAGCTGTACCGGACCACGGCGTTGCCCTGGGTCAGATTCAGGTGGAAGGTGACGAGAGGCCCATGCTGCAAACACAGCGTGCGCAGGGTGGAGCCGTCGATCTGGCGAGGAAGCACAAGGGCAGGCGCGTTCTCCTGGGAGCTCCCACTAACTCCTCCGGAGGGCATGCAGGCGGCTGCACCCAACGCCAGGCACGGGCCTCGCCTCAGAACACACGTGTGTTAAAATGAGTCTTCCACCTCCGGGCCAGGTGGCAGCTGTAGTCTGAGCGACTTCAGCTACATCTAGGAGTGGGGCGGAAACCCACGTGGCACCTGCTCTCCTCCCCCCGCATGGCATGCAAAGCCCCGGGAGTGCAAGGGCACCAGGTCCTGGCCGGGGCAGGGCTGCGCAGGCGGGTGTGGCCAAGGCCCAGGAGTGACCACTGTCGGCCGCTCACTCCTGCAGTTAAACAAGCAATTCTGCTTACAAAAGTTCATTTTTCAGCCTCAGAAGGGAAAGTAAACCGCTCACCAAGAACGTGGTTACCTGAAGCCCCCAGGCCGCCTGCTCACTGCTGCCTGAACCCGATTCTAGCACTCCTTTATTGTTCTGTGTGCCCGGTGTCACCCCCGGACCCGGGACGAGGGCATCTGCCACTCGTCTGCACCAGGGGCACCGCGGGGCCCTCCTCTCCCACGCTGGCGCCTGTACCTGGGGCGTGAGGTTGCGAAGAACGAGCCAGCTGCTAGTTCTTCCTGAGGTGTCGGCGCTCCAGGCAGAACCTGCACAAGCCCGGGGGAAGAAGCCGGTTGGCAAGGCGTCAGGCGCTCAGCCTCTCCCCATCTGGCCTCACCCAACCCTGGCAGCATGGACTCGCATGTGCTCTTGGGCACCCTCTTTACTTGTGCAAACTCCTGCTCTATTCTGATAAGGCAGACTTGCAGCGTGCCTACAGAACCCCCACCCTCTGCCCAGGAAAGCCCTGGCCTCCGGGGTATCCTGCCAGCCAGGGAGGCCTGTGCTTTCCTGGATGTGCAGAGGGATAGATGGGATGAGAGATGTGTGTATGGCCTGGAAGGCTCCGGCCTCTGCTTGTGCCCACCCCAGTCCCCACTGAGAACCAACTATAAAGCAAGCCCACGAGGGCTACTATTAAAAGGTGGACACAGCTATTATTTTTTGTTTTTGGCCACAGGTGTGTGCATTCGCTGGAGACAGAGACAGACAGAAATCACCACCTGGAGGGGATGGCCACAGCTCAGTCCTTTCTCTTCCACTCTCCTCCTGGGATTCTGGGAACACATGCCTGGTGTGAGTTTCAAGCCAGAGAGTGTGGGATGTGAACCATGGCTGGCCATGTGGGAGTCCAGTGCCTTACTGTCATGACCTCTGCTGGCCCCTACAGTTATTTTCAAACTAACTGCAGTGACTTCAATCCCTAGCGCATCTCTTTCATCCCTGGGGCTCGTTCTGCACCCCTGGGAACTGCCTGTAGGTGGCAATGCGATGGCAGCTTGTTCTGTCTCTGGCTTGGAAAGCCATGCCTTCCAGCGGGACACTGTGGAGAAGCAAGTGCAAAAGTAGAACTGAGACTCTGGACTTGCCTGACGAGGGTGGGAAGCCTAGACCAGCTGGGTGGGCCTTCCCCAGGGCCCAGCACCTGGCTGCAGCACTAGGGGGCTTGGCTGGCCAGCTTGCGCCCACTGTGGGGTTGGGATGCCGGGACCTGCCTGCTGCGCAGCCAGAGCAGGGCTGTGGGTCGCCGCACCAACGCTGACACTGAAAACACCTGCTCTCCTCGCCAGGGCCCTGGAAGCCTAGCGCGGCCTGGGCCCCTCCTAACCCCTTCTGGGCTCCAGGGACGGAGGCAGGGTGAAAGGGGAGACGCATGACAAAATGATAAGCAGAGCAGGTACAGGGCACCCCTCCCCGATCTGACACAAGGGATGCGGGGCTTACCCGAGGAATAGGAGCTGGTCCAGCCGAGGGGGCTGGCGCCCCAGGTGGAGGAAGGCTTGGGATTGGTTAACCCTGGAGGTGGCCTCGTGGGTGCAGTGGTGTTTCTGGGCACCTTCCACAGTTCATGAGACAGAGAGGCTTGAGTGTGGGAGGCTGGGCCAGAGGACCACGTTGATTTAATATCTGACAGTTTACCTAGAAAGGCAGAGAAACAGCACGTGCATTCTCGAGACGGAGGACAGCCCAGCTGTGTGGCGAGCCCTGCGGCCTGTGTGATGGGATGAGACCCGGCCCGAGGCTGCAGGTACCAGCTGTCGTGATCTCTGCTCTGCGACAGTCTGTGAGTGTCCCGTCTGGGCCCTGCCAGTACTTCGGACACTTTGCCCACTTAGCAGATGCACCAGACACCGATTTGCCACCAAGAAGTCACGTGTGGAGCTCGGGGTCAAAGCTAACGCCCGGCAGAGCCTGCGGGGACGTAGGAGGTAAGACCACGGTCAGGGCCAGAGCGCACACACATGCTTTTCTGCGTCTCGCTCTGGTCAGCACACTAGTGCCCGAGGGATGCTCGTCTTCCAACGTGTCTGGGGACACGCTCTGCGCGGTACGCTCCGTGAGGGCGGCCCAGCCACCAGTGCACGGCACCTGCAGCTGGGCACGCAACGTTTAAGGCTCTTAGGAGAAAGAATGATCTCAGCAGCGACATGAGCCCTCCTCCTGTGGGCCCCAGGGTCATCGGGGTGAGTGGACAGCTTCCACTGGCCCCACCAGCCCAGCACAGGTGAGGCAGATGAGGGCAGAGACGTGCCCAGCCCGTCACAGACAGCATCGTGGGGACCGGGCCAGCAGACGCGAGCCCACGCACACCTGTGTGCTCCCTGGCATTCACTGCAGTCTCCTAACAAACAAGTGCTAGCTTTTATGACAGAAACAAAAACACCACAAAAATGGCCTAAGATAACTGGAAGATGATTTTACTTATGCTAAGTAATCGTAAAAGTATTGAAGATACCACAGGTTGAAATATGCTCCCTTTTATTTATTTATTTATTTTTAAAGAGGCTTTTGATACGGGTTGTGTGGGCTTGCTAGAGAGAGAGAGAGAGACTAAGAGATAGCAAGCGAGAAATCATCCCCAGGGAGGATGGTCACGCCACAATCCCTTCTCCAGTCTCCTCTTGGGATTTTGGATACGCACGCACACATGCCCAGCGTGAGTTGTTTTGTTTTGTTTTGTGGAGAGGTTTTTGCTATAGGGTGCATGCGCTCGCCAGACAGAGAGAGACAGAGAGACAGACAGAAAGCGAGAAATCACTCTAGGGATGGCCACGCCATAATCTCTTCTCTTCCGTTCTCCTCTCAGGATCTTGGGTACGCACGCACACGCGCCCGGCGTGAGTTTTAAGCCACCGGGTCCAGGACGTGAACCGCGGTCGACTACGTGGGAGTCCAGCGACATAGCCATTACGCCAACCGCTGGTCCCTGCCCAGCCTGAGTTTTAAGCTGCCAGGTCCAGGACTCAACTCATGGTCAATTGTATGAGTCCAGCGACATAACCATTAAGCCATCTGCTGGTCCCAATATGCTCCCCTTTATAAACATCAAAAAGAACAAAAAAGCTTTTTTTGTTTGTTTGTTTTGTTCTAAGTTTTTTGCTTTAGGGAACAAGTGCTTGCCAGAGAGACAGGGAGAAAGAGAGGCAGGTAAGAAACCATTCCCAGGGAGGACTGTGCCCGTCCCTTCTCTGCCTGTCTCCTCTTCCAATTGTTGGTTATACATATACATGCGCCCAGCATGATTTTCAAGCCACCGGGTCTGGGACTTAAACCACACTGCTGGCCATGTAGGATCCAGCACTTTAATGGCCATGCCACCTGCTGGCCCTGCTTTTTGTCTTTAATAGGATACTCAACTACATCATGACTTTCTCCACTAGGTACTGGCATTAACAGAATCCTTGTAGCATTTACTATAGGAAATGTGCTGAAGAGACAGAGACAGAAAGCGAGAAATCACCCCTTGGGGGATGGCCACGCCATAGTCCCTTCTCCTCCGTTCTCCTCTCAGGATCTTGGGCACACGCCCACACGTGCCAGATGTGAGTCTTAAGTCCCCAGGTACGGGACTTGAACTGCGGTGGCCTATGTGGGAGTCGTCATAAGCATTATGCCATCTGCTGGTTCCTACTTCTTTTATTTTTTTAAAAAAAGAGGATGAGAACGTTTGATGGAATACAGAAACACGCTGAAAGACATTTACGAACAATAACCCCCACGTCTATGGGTTTCACACACACACACAAATCTCCTAGACACTGTGTTCGTACGTGTGCCCACGTCTCTTTGTAACCCTGCCTTACAAATGTCAGCTCAGGCCCGGCTGGGGCAGTCTACATGGGACGCTGCTGCTTGGCAGGCTGAGGCCACATGGGAGGCCTGGGTTTGATTCCTTGTTCATCCTGAAAGGCCAGGTACAGTGACAAGTATTTCCAGTCTCAGCTACTCAGGAGGCTGAGGCGGGAGCTCTCGGCATAGCAAAGCCCTGTCTAAAACCGGTCCACATACACATGTGCATGAGCGCACGCACACACGTTTGCACACACACACTTCAGATGAAAATTCTGAGGTATTTTTTAATGACAAATAATTTTCAGTTCTCCTCCAAGCCTAGAAGAAATTTTGTGTTTGTAAGACTTTATGGGCAACAGCAATGTGGGGCAGTTCGGACAGCACGTGGGCCCGAGACACGGAGAGCAGTGCACACGGCGCTGGGAGTTATGACGGGGACCTGCTACAGTTTCCTTTTTCCCTTGCAGCAAATTGCAAGCAGGTGCCTGCCTCTAAGCTGGCAGAGGCTTGGGAGTCCCTGGGGAGAACGGAGGCAAGAAGAAAGTGCACCCCAACTTTCATGTGACCAAGGCCTACCAGGGGGACAGGACCACGGCCTCCCCACGTGTGAAGCAGTGTGCCCTGGCGGCCAAGCCCATTCCCACTCCCCGTACACCACAGTCTCCCAGCTCAGGCAGAGGGCGTGCAGACCAGCGGGGAAAGCTGGGGCCTGCAAAGCACTGTTGGGGAAAGAAAGAAAATGCTACCTGCAAGTGGAGAGGCCAGGAGCGTACCTGCAGCACCGGGTGCGGGTGCAATGCTGCTGAAAGGGCCACTGGAGCCGGGGGCACCGAGCGGCCAGGCACTCGAGGAAGGCAGCGTGGCATTCTGAGATGATGGTGGGGAGGACCCTGCGGGACCAAACACGGCACTGAGCTCGGTGGGCGGCTGGCGGGTGGCGGCTCTAACGGGGGTGCAGGGACCTTAGCGACCCACAGTGAATTCCCTCCTAGACTGTCACTGCTGAAGCCCAAGCAGAATGCGTGATCCGGGAAGGAAGGCAGAGTTGTGGCCCCTACTCTGAGTCCCCACGGCCACCGAGGGAGGGTGGGAAGACCAGGCCAGGAAGCAGCAGGGCATTCTGAGAAAGGGCCTGAGGTCACCAGAGAAGGGAGCCATCGCCATGGAGCTTAGAAGAGCAGGCCCGGGCTGTAAGGGTAACCTTTTTTCCCTTCCGCATCAGATACGAGTGAAATACAGCGCGATCCTCATCCTTTCACGGCTCAAACAACAGCCATGAAGTTGCCAAGCAAACCACAGCTTTCTGTCATAAACTGGGCCCTAAGATCTGTCATAAACTGGGCCCTAAGAGCAGAACACCACGTCACACGTGGTGTGGCGGCTGAGGGACGGGGCCCACATGGCTGACTGCATGGTTTGAGTCCAGGACCTGTTGGCTTAAAAATCATGCTGAGCATATGTTTATGTCCAAAATCCCAGGAGGAGGAGGGGATGAAGAGGGGATTGTGGCGTGGCCATCCCCCGGAGGGTGCTTTCTCACTCCCCTCTCTCCAGCAAGAGCACTTTCCCTGCCGCAGGCACTCCCTGGTGCCCACCTGCCCCTGACCAAAATGCAGGCCCTGTCCTGCTACCTGCCTGTGGGACCCCCAGAACGCAGACCCCATGCTGAGAAGGCCCCGCCCCTGCCGGGGGGGGGGGGGG